TAAATCATTAAATAATTGAATAAATAAATGAGGGAGAAAGAATACTCTTCAGTGGAGAAGACATCAGGAATCCATCTCCCTATCTAAACAATAACACTGGCAGAATCTGATGTAATTATTTTGCAACTCTGGAGAGTTCCCTTTTTAGGAGCCAAGAATTTAAGGACTAGGACACTGAAAAGCAACCACATACACAGGGGAATTTAGAAAGTTACTGTGCATGACCAGCAAAAGGCAAAGCCTCAGAAAAAAAAACTAAGAAGACCTAAGTTTACACTCAGGCAAATCCTTCGGAAGAAGGGATAATCTGAGCTCCAGAGTTACTATATTACAAGATTCAAACGTTCAATTTTCCATGAAAAAAACCATAAGGCATACAAAGAAAGAGAAAAGTATGACCCCATTAGAAGGGTAAAAAATAATCAACAGAAACTGTCACTGAGAAAGACCAGATGATGGACTTGCTAGCCAAAGACAGAAAAACAACTGTCTTAAATAGTGATCAAAGAGCTAAAAGAAGCTGTGGACAACATCGAGAAAACAATGTATAAATATCAATAAAGACATAAAAAAAATTTAAAAGAACCAAAATAAATTCAGGAGGTAAAAAGTACATTAACTGATATGAAAAATTCACCAGAGTGGTTCAAAAGCACATTTGAGCTGGCAAAGGAAAACAATCAGCAAATGTGAAGACAATGTAAATTATAGAGTCAGAGAGACAGAAAGAAAAAAGACTGAGGAAAAGTGAACAGAGCCTAAGGCACCTATAGGATGCCATCAAGTGGATCAACACACGCACTGTGGGAATCCCAGAAAGAGAAGAGAGGAATGGGTAGAAAAATGATTGAAGAAATAATGACTGGAACCTTCCCAAATTTTATGAAATACATAAACATCCAAGAAGCTCCATGAACTCCAAGCAGGATAAACTCAAAGAAACCCAAACTGAGGCACATGATAAGTGAAATGCTGAAAGACAAGGAAAGACCCCCCCCACCCCAAAATCTTGTGCTTCTCAGCTGCACATAGAACATTCCCCATGATAGGTCATATGTTAGGCCACAAAACAAGTCCTAACAAATTTAAGAATGAAATCATATCAAGTATCTTTTCTGACTAAAATGGTATAAACTAGAAATGAATAACAGAAGGAACTTTGGTAACTTTACAAATACACTGAAATTAAATAACATGCTCCTGAATAACCAAAGGCTCAATGAAGAAATTAAAAGAGCAATCAAAGTTTCTTTAGAAAATGATAATAGAAACACGAGATACCAAAACCAAAGGAACGCAGCAAAAGATCTAAGAGGGAAGTTTATAGCAATAAATGTCTATATCAAAAAAGAAGAAAGATCTCAAAAAAAACCCTAACGTTGCACCTCAAGGAACTAAAAAAACAAGAACAAACTCAAACTAAAATTAGTAGAAAAAAAGAAAATAAGCATCAGGATAGAAAAATATGAAATAGCCTAGAAAAATAATGCAGAAGATCAGCAAAACAAACCACTTTTTTTTTTTTAAAGATAAACAAAATCCACAAACCTTTACCTAGACTAAGGAAAGAGAGAAAACTCATAAAATTACAGTTAAAAAAGACATTACAACTGATATCACAGAATACAAAGCATCATGAGAGACTGTTATGAACAATTATATGCCAACAAATTGGATAACCCAGAAGAAATGAATTCCTGAACACACAAAACCTACTAAGATCGAATTATGAAGAAACAGAAAATCTAAACAGATTAATAACAACTAAGAAATTGAATCGGTAACAAAAAGTCTCCCATCAAGGAAAAGTCTAAGACCTGATGTCTTCACTGCTGAAAAGTATCAAGTATTTAAACAAAACTAATAGCAACTCTTCTCCAACTGGTCCAAAAACTTATGGAGGAGAGAATACTTCCAAACTCAATCTACGAGGCCAACATTACACTGATACGGAAACCAGACAAAGACACAACATCCCTGATGAACATAGATGCAGAAATCCTCAACAAAATACTAGCGATCCAAATTCAACAGCACATTAAAAAGGTCATTCAACATGACCAGTGAAATGCATACCAGGGATGCAAGGATGGTTCGATATAACACAAATCAGTAAACACGATACATAACATTAACAGAATGAAGAACAAAAACCATACGATCATTCAATAATGCAGAAAAAGCATTTGAAAAAATGGAACATCCCTTCATGAAAAAAATTCCCAACAAATCAGGTACAGAATACACAACATTATAAAATCTTTTCCACAATAATTATTACAGTTGTATTCTAATGATGATTTTCTATTTCCATCATTCCTCGTACATTTATTAGTCAATCTAGAATCTGTCAATTTTCTCTGTTGTTTTTCTATTCTCTATTTTATTTATCTTTAATTTTTATTTTTTCCTGCCTTCTCCTAGCTTTGGGTATAATTTGTTCTTTTTCTAGTCCCTGAAGTTACAAAGTTATGTTGTTGACTGGAGATTTCTTTTTTTAATGTAAGCATTTATAGCTATAAATTTCCCCTCTGGCACTGCTTTTCCTGCATCTTATAAGTTTTGGTGTGCTGTGTTTTCATTTTCATTAATTTCTAAGTAGAGAGTAGAACTGTGGTTACTAGAGGTTGGGAAGGAGAAGAGAAAAGGGGGATAGTGAGAGGTTGTTTAATGGAGACAGAATTACAGCTAGATAGGTAAAATAAGTTCTAGTGGTGTACCATAGAGCTAGATATCTACAATTAACAATAATTTATTATACGCTCTCAAATGGATTGAAGAGAGGAGCTTAAATGTTCTCATCACAAAGAAGCGATAAAATTTTGTAACGATGAATTTGCTAACTACCCTAATTGGATCAATACACATAGTACAAATGTACTGAAATATAACTCTGTACCCTATAAATAGGTACAATCAATACATTTCAATTAAAAAATAAATTTTAAAAAGAAGTTTAAGAAAAAACAGAATGTTTGCATAGTCTCAGAGTATTTCCTCTAAGACATTTATTAATAACAAAGGGAAAAAGATTTACGTTACAGGGCAGAAACCCAGCAGGCACCACCTTTAGTCAAGTAATCCAGTTAACATCACCAGTAAGAAGACATATCAACATCATTTATTCCCTGATACGATGCTCTGAGAAGGCCACAACATTAGGATTCAAACCCCAGGTCTTGTCAGACTCCAAAACTTCACACTGTTCATTATTTTGCTATGAATAAGCATGTTTTCTTTCAAGAAACTGATAAACAGATTTGTTGGGGAAAGAAGAACCTACATCAATCAGGATATTCTATCATTTGTGAAATATACCCAACTCTGTACCGTTACTCAGGAAAGTATAAGAAATTAGTGAGATGAAACAACGTCTAATAAGATATTCTCAAGTTTGATAAATAGAAAGTAAATAATGGGTCCAAGTGAAGCTAGTAATAAAAAGGAAAAACAATGGAACTGATATTTAGTGATACTTGATACACAGTAGGTAGTAATAATAATAGCAATTATTTATAACAATAATATATTTATTTTCATTTCACACTATTTTAATTTTAATTCAATTTTATTCAATATGTACTTTATTAAGTTTATTTAATCATTATTAATAATTATAGCAAATACTATTCCATTTATTCATTCATTTAAACCTGTCAATAACCCTATGAGATGGGTACTATTATTAGTCCCATTTTGCAGATGTTAGAAAATAAAAGTATTAAAGTTTAGTAATTTGTTCGGTACTATTTACTAAGTGGCAGAGCCTACTACACTATACTACCTCCCAGAAAATATCAGTTTAATTAATAATAGGTACCAGATACTACGCTCCATACTTTACATATCCTAATACTCTTAATATTCCTATCCAATAGGCTTTAGTCTACCAATTTCCCAAATGAAAAAATGAAGGTTCTGACAGGCTGTCTAATACACAGCAGGATATTTAGCATGCTTGACTTTTACCTGGTAACTGTCAGAAGTGTCCCCCTCCCTGAGCCACTGTGATAAGAAAATGCCCCCCTTACACACAAACATTTCCAAATGCCCCTAAGGGAGCAGTGCTCTCCCAAAAGCTGGTTGTTGAAGGTTACTAGGTGGGATGTGAACATAGTCTATATGACTACAAAGTCAATGTTCTTTCCAACAGACACTGACTTGTGAAGGAGTTGAGATTGATCTAAATGTACAAAGGCAGGAGGAAAATAGTTTCACGAAGTGTGTGGGGCGATAAACTCCAGATGAGGTAACTACTGTTGAAAATAACTGAAAATTAAAGTAGCCTATAAAGTACAACAATATTATATATGTGTCACTTGTTGAATGAAGACAGACATAAAGCATGAGCCAATTTGTAAAGTGTATCAAATTTATCTACTGAGGGAATTTGGGATTCAATTCAGAACTCTGAGTGAGAACTGTCATCTTTAACATGTTAATTATTTGTAAAGGTCTAAGACAAAGGTATGAGGGCGAGTTAAAGGCCTCCTAAAAAAATTTCCAAGACTATCATTTCTTTTGGTTTCAAACATTCAAGTATTTTCAAATCTACTTAGGATGCTTTATCATCCAATGTTATATAAGCTCTATAATTTATAAGTAAAACATGATGTACATTATTCTAATCAATCTTTAATAAGAAACTCAGAACACTGGGGTAAAATATTAAAAAAGCAACACCAGTGTAATTAGTAATACAGATTACAAATATATGATAAAATCATTCTCCCAATCACACAAACACAGGATAAAGATCTCTATTTCCTCAAAAGAGTAAAATAGCTGTAGTATGCAATATCTAGATACTGTTATATAATTCTGAAAACTTTTAACTTTATAAATAAATATTAATACACAAATATTACTGTAGCAATAGCCCACAATCAATATTTTGGTTGTTTAATAAAATTTCTACACTTTAGCATGTACATGCATGAGCATCACACGTGTGCACACTGCAAACAAAAATTTAGTTCTCAACTCTAGTGATCAGTTACCTTTGCAATAATGACTTCTTTCTTCAGAATCTTCATAGCATAGTATTTCCCACTTGCTTTCTCTCGTACCAGAATAACTTTCCCAAAAGTGCCTTTACCTAGTAGTTTCAAATAGTCAAAATCATTCATTGTCTGAAAAATAAAAATTTAAAAAATAAAATATAAAACATTTAACACAATCTGCAATACCCACTCAAGAGCAAATTTTACCCATTTCTAAGCACACTTAAATGAAAGAGAATCAGACTGGTATCAGCTATCTTCTCATTCATCAGTAAATGTGGATGGTGAAAATAATTTAAGCGGTTCTCAGATACTGGAGAAAATTATTTTGAACCTAGAATTCTTTAGCCAGTCAAATGTTCAATCATGTGAAAGGGCAAAGAGAGAAAATCATTTTCATGGACTCAAGTTTTCAAGGACTTAGCAGTACTACAACCCCCAGACAATGTGATAATCAAAAACATCCAACAGGGGGGCCGGCCTGGTGGCGCACTGCTACAGTGCGCTGCTTGGGAGCGTGGCGGTGCTCCTGCCGAGGGTTCAGATCCCACATACAGACCGCTTCCCGGTCACTGGCTGAGCGAGGTGCGGGTGCAACACTGAGGGTTGCGATCCGTTGCCGGACACGGGAAAAAAAAAAAAAACACATCCAACAGGAACATTTCCAAATATGCCTGGGGGGCGATACTTTTGAAGGAGCTATTTGAGAATGTACTCCAGCAAAGTAAGAATGGAAACCAATGAAAACAAAGACATATTTAGAAGAAATGTTGAGAACAACTCTGGACCTCAGTGAAAAGAAATCAAAGAAAGACAGTGACTGAGAAAGCAATTGGAGCAATTCAGAAGAGTTCCATGAAGGATGTCTTTAGTTAACCTGTCTGCTTTCATTTTCATCTCTCATTCCTGTTTCTAAATCAAGTGACTCCTAGGATTTTGCCAGGCAGACCTGCCATTTGCTCTCTACAGTCCACTCTGTCTGTACTTTTCCTGCTCTGCTTTATCTATCAACATGTGCCCATGAACTTCAAAAATTTTGCAATCAGTTCTCCACTTAATGCCCTCCCCCACCCAGCTTTCCATTTTTGTGGACTTGTCCCCTTTTGAAATTCCTTTACTAGCATTTTAACGGCCTTTTGGATTGAAGGGTAGGTAACCGTGCATTGGTTTACTTCCTTAAATTTAAACTCAGTTTAAAGGTTTATGAGTAACAATTTAAGCATTTGGGTTTTGTCCTACAATTAGACAATCAGAAGTCATTGAAGATTTTAGTGCCTTTTATAACTTTTCTTTATCTGCTTAACATCCATTTCTCAAGAAAATGTGAGAAATGTCTCAAGTCAGTGACTTTAGCTTCCACCTTAGGAAACTAGAAAAAAAAGCAAATTAAACCCAAAAGAATTAAAAGAAAATAAATGATAAAGATCAGAGCAGAAATGAGTTAAATTTAAAAAATAAAGAAAAACAGTAGAGAAAAATAAATGAAACCAAAAGCTGGTTCTTTGAGGAGATCCATAAAAATTGATAAACCTCTAGCCAGACTGGTAAGGAAAAGAAAAACAGAAGACACAAATTACCAATTCAGGAATGAGAGAGGTGACATCACTATAGACTCTACAGATACTAAAAGGAAGATATGAGAATATTATAAAGAGCTTTATGCCAATGAAATTGACAGCTTAGATGAAATGGACAAATTCATTCAAAGTCTCAAACTACCAAATCTCACTCGAGAAGAAATAGATAACTTGAACAGCCCTATGCTTATTAAGGAAATTGAATTTGTGGTTAAAAACCTTTCAACAAAGAAAACTCCAGGCCCAGATGGTTTCAATGGTGAATTCTGCAAACACTTAAAGAAGAAATGATACGAATTCTATATAAACTCTTCCTGAAAACTGAAATGAGAAAATACTTTCCATGAGGCTAGCATCATCCTGATACAAAAACCAGATGAAGACATTGTAAGAAAACTCTAAACCAATGTCCTTCATGTACATATATTCAAAAATTCTAAAAATTTTAGAAATGAATGCCTACGCTCATTTTCAACAGTATTTGCTCCCTATAATTTTGATAAGCTTCCCCAAATGTCAATTTAAAATGTGTTAACTATTCCATAATATCTCTAGTTCAAAGGAAAAGATAGGCAGCAAAGAGATAGGAAGAAAAATGACAATGTACATTTATGAATTCAACTAAAAATCAAATATGTAGCTTTAAGTCTCTGGAATATAGTAACAAAGCTGATGTCATTTGAACAAATAACAGGTAATACTAGGTAGACCTAATTTCATTAATTGATCTTTAAAATCAGGAAATACTATACAACCACAAAATCATTTGTGCTAGGCAGTCTCCAAAGACGGCTGCCACTAATTCCCCATCCCTGCACGCACACTCCATTCTTCCCATGAAGAGGTGGAGGCAACTTTCCCTCTTCCCTGGGTTAGCACTGTATCTTACTTTAAATACACAATATGATCAAAGTGATCATCTGCCAGTTCCAGACCCAGCCTTCCAGACCGGCAGCTTATGTTTTCTCCCTCTTGGAAAACCCTAGAAAGCCAGCTCTCATGCCGTGAGCAAGTCCAGGCTATCCACCTGGAGAGAGAGAGACCACATGGAGGAGAACCAAGGCACCAGACATGCAGAAAGGTCTTCTTGGAGTTTCTTCAGCCCGTGTGCCAGCTGAAGCCAGGTGCTTTGGAGATCATGTGAGCCCAGCAGAACTGCCCAGTCAAACCACAAAATCATGAGGAATAGTACACTGCTGTTGTTTTAAGACATTAAATTTGAGGCAGTTTGTTCCACGGCAATAAATAACTGAGAGACAATATTCTTATAACCAGGCCGTAATATTTTATTGATCAGAGTTTCATTTGAGCACTGCCTTCCTCATTCTTCATTTAAAAGCACTGGGAAATGATCCTGCCCTATTAGCAAATATCATAGAAAATAAAAACGAATTCATGGGGTAAAAATTAGAAAATAATTTGGAAATTGCTTTCTGACATTTTCAGATGAAAAGGAATATATAATTATAAAATATTACTAATTCCTTAAAGACTGCACTTAAGGACGATGAGGCTTTAAAAAAAGTATGACAGCCTTAACTCTGAATTCACAGCTTGTCAGTTTGACTGTCAACCTTAAAAAAAAACAAAAACAAAAAAGAAATTTACATGAAAAGTAATATTAGTTAGAAAGTATTCTATGTGATAAAATCAGCAGCAGATTTCATATCTATTTTGACAAAACTTCAGAAAATTGAAAATGTATCTTTGATACCAAATGCTCATTGTCAGAGTGGTATACACTGTAATTATCTAGTCTTTACAAATAAGATGTAAGCTATTACAAAATGTTTTCCTCTTTTGAATGATTTTAAGGGAAAAGATATAATAAATCTTTAAAAAATATATAGGAGCTTTGATACTCTCCAAAAAAATTAATCCTCCAAAATCCAATCCTAAAAATTTGTTAGGGAAATACTTCATTTACATAGTTATACTCTTTCTCTTACATGTTACTGTGGCTACTTTAGGTTAAGAGATGCATGTACACATGTAACAAATACTGAATAAATGTATTCAAATCATACGGACTAGAATCTAAGACTCACTGTCTAGGTCTAAAATTAGATTTAAAAATGAATAAGTAAATTGAAGAATACGAGGAACTTATCAGAAAAGAATACAGAGGCATTAGCATATTTAGTCCAAGGTGAATTGCAGATATATTTACAATGGAAGAACTAATCCATGTAAGTAAAAGTGAAAGAAGAGCTCTCATAACATTAACCCCTCTGCCTATACCTGGGTCCACTTCCTCTGGTGCTCTTTCTCATGGGAAGATGTAGTGGGTTAGATTATGTCCCCCAAAATTCACTGAAGCTTGGATTGTGTCCCCCAAGTTTTATGTATTAGAAACTTGGTCCCCACTGCGACTGTTAAGAGGGCGGGAATCCTATTATGGTAATTCAAAGGTGGAGACTTAAAGAGGTGATTAGATTGTAGGACTGTGCAACAGTGAATGTATTAATAATGGTGGTCAGGGCAAGGTTCTGAGGGTTTTAAAAGAAGAGAGAGAGGAGTCTGTCTCTATGCTCTCTCTGCTTCCACCATCTTGCAATGTGAGATCCCTGGGTCACTGTCACCACCACCAGATGGACTTTGGACTTCCCAGCCTCAGAAACTATAAGCAATAACTTTCATTTTTCATTATAAAATCACCCAGTTTCACGTATTTTGTTATAAGCAACAGAAACTGACTAATACAGAAGAGAAGGGGCTAATCTGATTAGTGAAATTCTGCAACACAGGCTACACCACCCTCCCCTCTTGCGTAGGTAGATGTAAGTAGTGAGATCGCAACAGAAACTGACTAATACAGAAGAGAAGGGGCTAATCTGATTAGTGAAATTCTGCAACACTGGCTACACCACCCTCCCCTCTTGCGTAGGTAGATGTAAGTAGTGAGATCGTGTGATCTCAGCAGGTTCTCCGGTCTCTTCTTTTCTTCTCTGCATCATACTAGCCACTGCTTTGAGTTACTGTAGCCAGGCATTCAGTGATAAAATCCCAAGAACTGAAATCAGACTTAATGGGAAGGAAGGAGGCACTTCTTACAGTTGAAACCTAAACCATAACTTTATGACGAGCTGCTTCCACAGAGACCTACACTAGCCAGTTAAAAATTAAATAGAACTTTGATTCTCTTTTGGCTTTTTATCCTTTTATGCTGTGCCCCTTCACATGCTTGACAAGGGATATGAAAGTGGCAATCTGGCAGACCAAGATGAGGCATTTCTGAGTCCTCTAACCAAATTCCTTCAAAACAACATCTTCTAATTCAGACTTAGAAGACCGTTTAAATCTGGTTGTGAAGCCCTTGACTCTTCTCTCCACCACCCAACATCTGTCCCTCTCCAAGAGAGTTTTTAACTGGCAGAGCAGATACTGCAGCAACATTCTGCCATAAGGGAGGTAACCACCTGTCCACTGCACACAACAGATAGCAGTCAAGACCACTCTCGGCACAGCTACCATAGCAGTAGCTATTCTCTTAATCCTATTGTCGATTTTTCAAAAAGGGAACAAAGAAGAAAGTGTATCCTGTAAATTATGAGAGAGGTATTCTTACCTCAAAATGTGTGTTTACAGTTTTAAGTTAAAAATAATCCAAGCTTTTCCAATTCTTTTCATGATAACTGACAAACATATAGGATTAGTTCTAGAGCCATTTATTTTACTAAAGTGACAGTAATATTTTTCCACTGTTAACTAAGTCATTAGAACCATTACAGAATAGGAAGCGGTAAAAAAGTTACATTTTTCTGCACTATTTGTCAGAAAAGATAACAAGATCTCACGCATATAAGGTCTTTTTTTGGGGGACTGGTAAAGGGATCGCATCACTCGGCACGGTGTGGTCTGCACTGCACTCAGCCAGTGAGCACACCAGCCATCCCTATATAGGATTCGAACCCGCGGCCTCGGCGCTACCAGCACCACACTCTCCTGAGTGAGCCACGGGGCCTGCCCTCATATAAGGTCTTTTAGTTGTACAATGTACAACATTGATAAGCAACTTACTTCTTTTTCTTGGTTCACGTATCTTAAGCCTCTATCATCTCTACAACTGTTATAGACTCACAACATAACCAAGTTATATTAGAAACAAAATTATGTACCTATATATAACAAAATTATGTTCATAATACTGGTACTTAATTCATATAGTTAAGGTTTAAATTGAGGAAATTTGTGTCAAGTGCTTATACGAGTCTCCAAAAAGTTCACTGCTCAATAAATATTAGCTATTACTGTTAGCTAATATTCTACCTTATCCACATAAAGATAATTAAACGCAAGCATCTTTCTAAAACAGATTCTATTAGAATTCTTTATCGAAACTGGGTAACCAAAATGAAAATTGATAGCAGTATTTTGGATTTATTTGGGGTTCAGTGTCTTAACCATATCTGATTTCCATTGTCCTTGATTTCATTTCATTCTAAATGAAATAATTTACACATATACAAGAGTTTTCTATCTCTGAGTCGGTGAGTGAAGCTAGACTGTGTTTTCCTTTTGCAATGACTGTGGAACAAAAGCAGGTTAAATTGACTTAAAAGGAAAGAGGGATTCAGTTCAACCAACAGACAGAGGATATGTCTACGAAGAGACACTCTCAAAGACAGAAAAGGTCTCAGACATTTGGCTAAGATCAAACATAGAGTATTATTGTAATCAGAACAGAAGCTTCACCTAAGGAAAGGATAACTGACTCTAAGTGGTGACTGTATAACTTCAACCTCACACCTTAAACATGTGGAAGAGGAAGGACAAAGAGCTAAGGTCTAACTCAAAAGAGTTCATCATCATTAATTTGCTAATACCAAACTTCACGGACAATAGCTTGAAATTTTGTATTTTCCTACTTGAAGACAAATTTACAATCTATACTACCACACATATTCTAAAATGATAAACGGCATGTTAATCCATTCTCAACACCTCTATATTTACATAAAGATGTTGCTTTACAATTTTCTCTAGCAGTGAAAAGCGTAATATATAATCCCCAAGAAAATATAAACTGATACATTCCTCTGCAGCACTGAGGAAAGGAAAAGTCTGGTTTCTCTCACTGGCTCAGGTGCAGCCATGAAAATCAAAGCTATTATTTCCAAGGCTGCTCACTTTCCTGAAAATGTTAGTAAGGCTGAGAGCACCAAACAGGGATGCACCAGAGCCATTTCTGCTCCTGCTTTCAAAACACAAAATGCCAAATGGAAAAGGACCAAATTATTGGGGAAAATATTTTATTTCTAAAACAATGAGGAAAAATGCAAATCATAAGTAGTATCAATGGCACAGCAGTCAAGACTCCCTTACAAAACCTATTGGCATTCAGCATTAAAGTGCTGAGCCACACAAATGAAGAGATGTTCAATTATTTGGTTTTAAACAACACGTATTTGAGATTCACATGGATAAAAATCACCCATATATTTAAATATCATAAGAAAACCGACACCTCTGCAAATGGCATTTTTAGCATATTTTTCCCAGACAAATAAATGCTGTGTTGAGTAGGAGGATAAGTTACTATTCTCTACCTTTCTCTTATGATGAGTTGTAGAAGCATCCATCTCCTCCTCCCCTATGTTATCAATTTGTGACGTTGGACTACAGTTCATTCTTTCCTCTTCTTGCCTTTGCAGTCTGTCTGCCACAGCCTGGATAGCTTCTGTCCATTCTTCTCTATAAAAATGAGCAAAATTTCCAATTAACAGAAGATGGTAAGCAACTCAAGTATTTTTCTTTCTTTAAATATACAATCAACACAAAGATAGTCCATTCCCAGATAACACACAAACACATACACACACTCTTGCACCATCATCCCAAGGTGAAAATAATTCTAAAGCCATTTCATTGCAGCCCTGAAATCTGTAGTCATATTCATTTGGAGGTACGTTTAAAAAAAAAAAGAAAGAAAGAAAAGAAAAAAATCATTTAAAAATCCAGCTAAAATCACTTAAAAGTATAGTTAAGGTTTGTCTATACACATCCTGCCTATTAGTACACTGACCCCCAAAAGTTTGCTGCAGGCTTGTTTTGCTTTTGCTGGCTGGTAAAGGGATCAGACCCGAGACCTTGGTGCTATCAGTCACATGCTCTAGTGCACATCTTTTTTTTTTTTTATGTTAGCATTTTTTTTAACTTCTTAGTACACATTGTAGTTGATTTTTGTGACCCTTTACCTGTTCCTCTTCCCCCCTCCCTCCCTCCCCTCCCCCCCCATCATATCTGTTCACTTGTCTTAACAAGTTCAAGGAACTGCACATCTTTAACTGAATTTATTCCTAAGGATTCTTTGATGGTATTGTGGAGGTTATTTTTTAAAATTTCACTTTCTAATTTTTCCTGCTAGTTTAGAAATACAATTGATTTTTGTATATTGACTTTGTATACTGTAGCTTTACTGAATTCATTTCTTAGTTCTACTAGCTTTTATTTTTCTGGGTTTTCTACCCACACAACCATATTATGTGCGAATTAAGACCAGTTTTACCTCTTCCTTTCCAATCTGTATACCTTCTATATCTTTTTCTTGCCCTACTACCCTAGATCAGAGTTTCAGGTACAATGTTAGGAAGCAGCATCCTTGCTTTATTTCAGAAGTTAGGGAGGAAGCATTGAGCCTTTCACCCATAAGTTTTATGTAAATTGTAGGTTTTCCAATACGTAATCAATTAACTTCTAGTCTGTTTCTACCCTGCTGCTTCTTTTCGTGAGGCGAATGCGATAACAAGTACACTACGCCATAACAAGTACGCTACGGAAACCCCCTTCGCTGCTTTTTGTTATGAAAGTTTGTTGAATCTTGTCAAATGCTTCTTCTGTATCTGCTGAAATGGTCATGAAGTTTTTATCCTATTCATATAGTAAATTACTTGACTGATTTTCAGATGCTAATGCAACTTTAAATTCTTAGGACAAGCTCCATTTGGTCATGATGTAGTACTCATTTTACATATTGTTGGACTTGATTGGTTAATATAGTATTAAGAAATTTTGCATCTGTATTCACAAGTATATTAGGCTAGAGCTGCCTTTTCATATGATAGCTTTGTCCAGTTTTTGGAATGAGAGATCGTGGCCTATGAAATGAGTTGGGAAGTATCCTTGCCTCCATTATTTCCTGAAACACTCTATATAGGATGGGTCAAACTTCTTTAAATGTTTGACACAATTCACCAGTGAAGACATCTGGGCTTGGGGGTTTCTGTTGAGGAAAGGGTATTGATTACTAATCAATTCTGTTCTCATTGATATTGTGCTGTCCTAGTTTTCTACTGTTTTCTTCAGTGTCTTCCCTCTTTAATTCTTTCTTTAACAATATCCCAAGAAATTTTCAGTTTTTTGTTGTTGTTGTTGTTGTTTTTTTAAAGAACTAGCTTCGGTTTTCTTAATTATTCTCTGTCATTTTTCTGTTGTGAATTTCATTGATTTCTGATTGCTACTGTTTCCTTATTCTCTTTGCTTTGGGTTTAATTTACTCTTCTAGACTCTTAAGATGGTAGCTTAGGTTTTTGACATAACTTTCTTCTTTCAAATACAGGCATTTAAGGCTACAAATTTCCCTGTAAGCACTCATTTAGCTACACATTTTGATATATATATATATATTTTTGTCTTTTGTCTTTTTTCCGTGTCCGGCAACGGATCGCAACCCTCAGTGTTGCCCCCGTACCGGACCGGGGACCGGCAACGGGATTGCAAACCTCGGCGTTGCTCCCGCGCCTCGCTCAGCCAGTGAGCGGGAACCGGTCCGTATGTGGGATCCGAACCCTCGGGCGGGAGCGCCGCCGCGCTTCCCAAGCGGCGCACTATCCAGTGCGCCACCGGGCCGGCCCTCACATTTTGATATATTTTATTTTCCTTTTCATTCACTTAAAACTGTTTTTTAGGGTCGGCCCGTGGCTCACTTGGGAGAGCGTGGTGCTGACAACATCAAGGACACAGGTTCGGATCCCCTTACCAGTCATCTTTTTAAAAAATCAAAAAACTATTTTCTAATGGCTCTTATGAATTTTGGTGTTGACCCAATGATTATGAAGAATTATGTTGCTTAATTTCCAAATAGTTGGTGTTTTTCAGGTTCTACTCTTGATAGTGATTTCTAATTCTTCTATGGTTACAAAACATACATTATATAATTTCAATCTTCCTAAATTATTTTATGACCCATAATATAGTCTATCCTGTTGAATGTACCATGTGCACTTGAAAATAATGTGTGTAGGCTGACCCCGTGGCGCACTCGGGAGAGTGCGGCACTGGGAGCACAGCGACGCTCCCGCCGCGGGTTCGGATCCTATGTGGGACCAGCCGGTGCGCTCACTGGCTGAGCACGGTGCAGGTGACACCACACCAAGGGTTGCGATCCCCTTACCGGTCATAAAAAAGGACACACACACACACACACACAAAAAAAAAGAATGTGTGTTCTGTGACTTTTAGGTGTGGTGTTCTGTAAACATCAATTACATTGAGGTAAGTTGACAGTGTTATTCTATGTCTTAGCTAATATTTGGTCTAGCTGCTCTACCAACTGCTGAGAAGAATTTTTAAATCTCCAAATATGGATGCAGAATTGTCCCTTTTTTTCCCTTTAATTGTTACTGTATGCATACATGATGATTATCTCAACAGATGCAGAAAAAGCATCTGACAAAATTCAACATCCTTCCATGATAAAGACTCTCAGCAAGTTATAGAAGGAAAGTGTATAGGTACAGAAGGAAAACAAACCTACCACCAATAGCATTCTGAATATGGAAAAGCTGACTCCTTTTCCCTTTAGAACAGGAGCAAGACAAGGATGTCTACTCTCACCACTCCAACTTAACACAGCATTGGAAGTACTAACCAGAGCAATCAGGCAAGAGGAAGAAATAAAGGGCATCCAGATTGAAAAGACGAAGTCAAACTATTGCTGTCTGCAGACAACATGATGTGATATACAGAAAAGCCTAAAGACTGTACAAAAAACCCTTAGAGTTGATAAGCAATTTCAGTAAAGTTGCAGATAAAAAATCCACACACAAAAATCAGTACTGTTTTTATACTCCAATAACGAACTAGCAGAAAAAGATACCAGTGACCATTTACAATATTCATTAAAAAAATAAAATACCTAGGAATCATTTTAACCAAGGAGGTGAAAGATCTCTACGTGAGAATTACAAAACACTGCTGAAAGAAATTAAAGAGGACACAAAAAGATGGAAAGACATTCGATGCTCTTGGATTGGAAGAATTAACTTTGTGCAAATGTCCATACTACCCAAAGCAATCAACAGATTCAATGCAATCCCCTTCAAAATACCAATGACATTCTTCACAGAACCAATAAAAACAATCTTGACAATCATATGAAACAAAAGATCCCAAATATCCAAAGCAATCCTGAGCAAAAAAAAATAAAAAATAAAGCCAGAAGCATAAAACTATTTGATTTCAAATTATACTCTAAAGCTATAATAACCAAAATAGTATGGTACTGGCATAAAAACAGACATATGGACCAATGGAACAGAACAGAGAACACAGAAATTAACTCACAAACTTAACATTCTACACATCTTCAACAAGAGCATCAAGAACATACATCAGGAAAAGACAGCCTCTTCAATAAATGGTGCTGGGAAAACTGGGTATCCAGATGTAGAAGAATGAAACTAGACCCGTACCTCTTGCCATACACCAAAATCAACTCAAAATGGATTAAAGACTTTAAGACCTGAAACTATGAAACATAAAACTATAGAACTCTTAAAACAACTTAACAGTAAAAAAAACAAATAACCTAATTAAAAAATGGGCAAAGGAGCTGAATGGGCATTTCTCAAATGAAGAAATACAAATGGCCAACAGACACATGAGAAAATGCTCAACATCACTCAGCATCGGGGAAATGCAAATCAAACCCACACTGAGATGTCATCTCACCTTAGTTAGACTGGCTATTATCAAAAAGACAGAATAACAAATGCTGGCAAGGATGTGGAAAAGGGGGAACCCTCCTCCACTATTGGTGGGACTGTAAATGGGTGCAGCAATTACAGAATACAGTATGGAGGTTCCTCAAACAACTATAGATAGAACTGCCATACTATCCAGCAATCCCACTGCAGGGTGTATACCCAAAGGAATGGAAATCATCACGTTGGTATAAGGAATACCTGCACTCCCATGTTTATCACAGCTCTATTTACAATAGTCAACAATTGGAACCAACTTAAATGTGCATCATCAAACAACTGGTTAAGGAAAACGTGGTATGTATACACAATGGTATATCACTCTCCCATAAAAAAGAATGAAATTATGTCATTTGCAGCAACATGTATGAGCTTAGAGAAAATCATGTTAAGTGAAATAAGCCAGGTACAGACAGAGAAATACCACATGTCCTCACTCATAGGTGGGAGCTAAAAAATAAACAAATAAATTTTTTAAAAAAAGAAAGAAAGATATAACCGTCACAATAATACACTGAACTTTCAAAAGGAGATAAGACAAGTGAGGTCACCAGAGGTGGGAAAAGGGGAGGGGAGGGGGAAAGGGAGGAACTGGTAAAGGGACATAAAAAACCATTACACTGCATAATGTTCAACCTTAAAATAAAGCATTTATAAGATAGATAGATGATAAGGTTAGAGAAATATTAATTAATCTACATCAGGTATGGATTTTAGACAGGGGACAGAATATTGAAGAGTGTTTTTCTAACTCTCACTAAGCCTCCCCAAGTCTTCATTGACATTACATAAAAGTAACATAAAATCTCCAAATACAGATTCTAGGTGAATACAGAAAAGCACATTCCAATGGCAAATATAAATATACTGTTTTTCGTTTTTCTTGTAGTCATAAATGCAAGTGAAAAAACTGTTCAGAAGAGAAGTGGATCTGGCTTAAATCCAGCTATATAAACACAAATGACAAAATTAATAATGTTTCAATCCTTCAATGAGATGCTATAAATCCACTAAAAGGGGCTGGCCGGTGGTTCACTTAGGAGAGTGTAGTGCTGGTAACGCCAAGGTCAAGGGTTTTGATTCCCTTACAGGCCAGCCACCCCCAAAATAAATAATTCCCAAATAAATAAATAAATAAGAAATAATATTTTAAAACTATACTGACACGGGGAAAGTTCCATTCATTCATCCAGTCAACAAATACTACGTCAGGCCTGGACCATATGCTCAAGATTTTAAGAAATGACCAAGAATGATAGGAGCTTTGCTGTCAAGAATCTTGCAGTTTAGTAAGAAAGGCGAATGAGGACTACATGCACAATATCCTTGACATAAAAGATACTAAGAGATACATAAACATATAACAGGGGTACCGACCTAGTCTACAAGAGTCACAGAAGATTTTATAGGAAAAGTGTCATTTTAAGCTCAGATCTGAAAACTATAGAGGAATTAGCCCAACCATGGTTATGAGTGGAGATATAAGCAAACTGTGAACTCAGTATAAAAGATGGCCCAGAGGAGATGGGGTGTATGGAGGTGGGGGTCGGGTAGAGCAGGAATATAGGGAAAGATACAAAAAACTATTTATATACTAAAGACCTAAACACATCTGCACAGACGGAGGAGTAGAAGTGTATAAAAGAAAATATTATCGGTGCTTAATTCTAGTTATACAATTAGAATTATGAGTAATTTCTAGTTCTTTTCTGTATTTCCTATAATAGTCACACATTATCATTTATTAATCAAAAAGTATCATTTAAATAATACTTTACCACTTTTTAATTAAAATCCAATCAATTCTGTTAAAACTTAATTTATTCATTTGGAAAACAAGGCTAATAACATCTAACTTCACAAAGGTACTGATTAGGATCAAACGTGATGACATATGCGCAAGACAATGATTCTGTGATTGTGGCTGCTGGCCCTAACTCAGCATCAGAACGACCAGATAAAAGAACATAAAGATAGAACTGGGAGGCGAGAGGTGGTTGCAAAAATCGATAGTGAACCAGAAAAATGAACGTGTGGTCCTGGTGAAGTTGGTGAGCTGGTTACTAACATGTTGCCACTCCCCTCTTTAAGTAATGATGACAGTCAAAGCTAGTCAATCCTAATATCTAATATTTTCCTCCCACTGAGCTTAGACCCAATCTCAGTATCCTTCTCGACATAATACTCTAGGCAGACACTTGCAATTAATCTGTAATAGCATGCTACTTGAAACCTTTTGCTATCACTAGCCTCTAAATTTCAAATATGAATACAATCGATTCTACAACTTTTAAAAAAAAGGTAGTTCGGTTATAAAAAGTCTTTTTAAAATTATATTTTAACCTTTAAACGTTCTATTTTCTCTGAAGAAGTATATCTAAATAGCATGCCTAGAGGATCTGACTTAATATTTCTCAAGTCCCTATTATTCATGCATTCTACCCAAAACAGAAAACTCGAGAGACTACAGCATTTCACAAGTGTATTTATATTTATTTACAAATGGTGAAATCAGATACAAATACATCTCTAGATTGTTGCTTTCTCACAAGATGGAAAAAACAAATTTCTTACCTTTCCTCTGTAGTATCTACATGAAATGTTCTCTCTATAACAGTAGTCCACTGGAGACATCTGATAATAAATGTGTTTGGCTTTGGTCGTTCTGTTTTCATTAACTGGCATTCTAGAAATAAAATAAAATATCTCTTTAAATATACATGTATTCAAACCAAGAAGTAAACAGTTGAGACCTATAGAGTTCTATTCTAAACAACACTCACTATAACCTCACAGCTTTCTATGCATCTCCACTTAAGGTTATTGACAATCTGACCTTAGTATTACTTTCTAATCCATTGCCCATTCTAGCCACATTAACAAATAAACTGGACGATTTAATTTTCTCCAAACACATCATGCTCTTTCCTATACCTCCGCTCCAGCTGTTCTTGTTATATGTAATACCTTCCATTTATTTTACCCCTCTCCATACGCAATCACCAACAGCCAAAATTTTATCTGTCCTTTAAGGTCCAGGTCAACTCCTATACTCCTTCCAGGAAGCCTTTTATAACACCTGGTCCTAGACTGACCATTTCCTCCTCTATATTCTTATTACTTATTACTGTATACCTCGTTTTTCACGTAGCATAGACTGTCTTATAGTATTATTTATCGTTTGAAGAACGTATCCTTATGTCTGCCTAGATTATAAGGCTTTTGACAGTATAAACTGCCTGTAACTCTTAGTATACACAGCCCCTAGAGTCACTCAAGTGATTGAAGTTAAATTTAGATTTAAAATTAAAATTTTAATTTAATCTATAGTGAATATCTAGGAAGACTTCAAAGAAAAGGAGCATAATATAGCAGTTAAAAGTAGGGATTCTCACACCAATGTGCCTAGATTCAATGATTATTTTTACTATTAACTAAATATACAACCTTGCACAAGTTAATTAATCTCTCTGGTCTTCAACAGTTAAATGGGAAACAGTAACAGTACCTACGCCACAGAACTGGGGTGGGGATTAATAAATAATAAATAAATAAATTCATGCAATATTTAGCATCATGTGTGACACATAATAAGCTATCAAAAACTGCTAGCTATTATTACTGAGTGTTCATCTGAGCTGGTCTTTAAAGGATAAGTATAAATAAATAAATTCATGCAATATTTAGCATCATGTGTGACACATAATAAGCTATCAAAAAATGCTAGCTATTATTACTGAGTGTTCATCTGAGCTGGTCTTTAAAGGATAAGCCTGTAGCCTGTTATCATCTTCTAGCATATGAGACAACTAACTAACTTAGTATCTTTCTTGTTTATTGTCTGTCTCGTCAACTGGAATGCAAACCTCTCTGACATATATTCTTAGCACCTGGAACTGTCCTGACACATAGCAGACACTCAAAAAATATTTTCCAAATGAGTGAATTCCAATAGTAATAATCCAACAGAAAAGATAATTTTGGTAATAGAGGAAAGGAGAGAATTTCTGGAGCCACTTCCTCATATAGGAAAGAAGGGATGAAATTCAGTGCACATAGCAAGGGGCGGCTCTAGCCAGGAGTACAGACAGTTCAGAAGACAGAATAAAAGGGCCTCTATGCAGTTAGGGTTATGGATGCAAGCAGGAGCTGGTAGAAATGTTCTCATTGCTTCTGTTTTTTCAATGAATTCAGATATAAAGCCATCAGTTAAGAATAAGGCTGAAAGAGGATGTTTTGGAGCCCTGAGAAGAATAAAGTTATGAAGATATGAAACAGTGCTCCAAAAAATGGAAGAGCAGATGGACTAGGGAAATATATCATGACTGCTGAGCAGCATTAAGGGCCTGATTGAATTTAATAATCAAGAATTTAAAGTAACACCAGGGATCAGGGTTGTATATTTTCTCCCAGATACACACTCTGCTGCCTGGGTATAGTTGGGGAACACAGAGGATTAGATTTAAGCAAAGCGGTATTTTAACCTAGTAAGCTTGTCCCGGCAAGAAAGTAGAGCGAAGTAGAGGGTACAAGGCAAGGGAGTGATGAAGACAATCATCTAAGGAACCTAAACGGGGTGTGGAGGGAAGAGAGAACCCCAGGGTGTGGAAGACGATGGAGACGTGCAATCGACAGATCATTAAATCCAGTATATTACAGTTAAACCTTGCACAGCAATGTTGAAGATTTTTGGAAATCTGAAAGTTACAAAATACCAAATGTAGTACGCCACTTTATTTTGTTTTATTTGATTTTTTATTTTGACCAATAAAGAGCCACCTAATTTCTTACGACTGACTTGGATTTCCGTTTAAGCCCATTGTTCCTTCCCATTTCCTTCATTTCAAAACTCCTATTAAATTACCAGTCAGTAGTGCATCACACTGTCCTGTACGTGTTTAACACATGTTAACTGATCTCCTGGCTAGATTAATTACTAAAGAGTTAGGAATTGTATGCGCAATTCTTCCCACCGCACATAAGGTGACATAGTCAATACCTGATGACAAAGCAAGTGACAGGCTGGCTTTTAATGTAAAGAATGGAGGATGGACACTTAAAAGAGGGGCAGGCCTGACAAACACTCAAGAACAAACTATGCAGCACAGAGAAATAGGAAGAACAAAAAAGGAAACACAGAACGCCCAACCTAAGGTTCGCCTGTTTCAGTTTCACTTAAGGTTCTCACTGTGGTGGTACAGTGGTCACTAAGAGAACAGACTTTGAAATTAGAATACCAGATTCAAATCCAGGCTCTACCCACACTATCAGCTATGTGATCCTGTCAAAGTACTTTTCATCCCCCAAGTTCCTCATCTTTAAAAGCACTATCAGGAATTAAGGTAAAACTTTAAAGATAGCATATTTTCAACACCATAAGCACACGGAGTTTAAATGCTATAAAGAAATTCTCAACACTGGAATTTTAGAAGCTATTTAAAATACTATATTACCAGACTGTAAGTGATTATCAATTACTGTAATTTACAAGGCTGCTAAAACCAATAACAAAAAATATTACTTTAATTACCATTCTCAAGCAGACCACTGAAACGGAACTGTTTAGGAAAGACCGAAATATTTGAATTTACGCATGAGGTAGTTTGGAAAAATATTAAAGTAATAGTACATATCCTAAGTAGTTACACACAGCTTGACTGTCTTGACTAAATTTGCTAAGTATGAAACACCAGTTATAGGCCAAGCGCTATGAAAGCTTCTGAGCACACAAAAATGAGTAAAAGACTGTGAGCTCACAGCACACACCATACTCTATTATTAGTCCATCCTACACATGTAATTATAAAGCAATATTTCACTAATGAAATAAAGGTTTTAATCAGGTCCCTGTGAAGCTCCAGCCCAACGAAATATTGCACGTAATTACAAACAAGTAGTATAGTAGAAGTAAACCTGTATTTTACAGGTCTCAGTATGAAATTCTCTACAAACAAATCCAATTTCTAAGGAATACCCATTAGACTGAGACTATAGGAGACAGAAGCAGATACCAAGATATTCAAATGGTGGTTGGGTCACTACCACGAGAAGAGAATACTCCACCATGTCTTAGGGTTTGCTGCTGTATAGAAGCATGTATCATCAAAAGAGGTAAAGCCAAATTCAAAACAGTTGTAACTGTAACTTACACTTGAACACAAGCGCTAGAAAAACTTTGGGTTCTTGTATGCTAGCCGTAATAGGAATCATAAACACATCCAACAGCTCTTTTAAAATAAACATGCTGTGAAAGTTCTAAGTTTTCAGATCACGTTGGTTCATGATCTGAAAATTCATACTCTTAAATTTGAATCCAAGAGAATTCATTTTTAAAGCAGATTCTTAAAGCAGATAGTGGTTAGTAAATAGATTAGGTAATATTCGTATAGAAGAATATTTTCCTTTTAATTATGTAAAGATTGCCAAATCAAGCTGGACCAATTTAAAATTTAAAAATAGAAACTTTGGAGTCAGATTCTAAAAAGCTATTAACCGAATGATCATCTATGATTTCTGGAATCATTTAATACACATCAATAAAGTAAATAAAAATAAAGTAATATATAAATAAATAGACACAAAGTAAGAACTCTTTATAAAATACTAGGTAACTGACTTTTATTATATCATAATGAGATACTTTTCAGTAAAGCATTTGTTATACTGGTACTTAAATCAGATAGTCGTCACTAATTAAACTCTCCTGAGCAACTTGAACTACAAGCTGAATTTCAAACATTCTGCTTACTTTAAACCATTCTGAACCACAGATGACAAAGTTTGTTCGCAGCTGTAATTACTCTGCAAACCTGAGAGCCAATTAGAGAGGGTGCAACATGCCAGAACCAAAAAAAAATACCAGAAAGAAATTGAGATCATCTGTTCAGATTTTATTCAAAAGTTTAAGATTTTATTTCAACCTTTTTTAAACCCTTAAATACTAATTGTTATTCTTTTAAAACTAATTTCTACTAACATGCAATGTGTAAACAAAAGCATAATAATAAATTCCAAAAATAACTGTGAGTAACAAAGACCATAAATCAAAAATTTTTTTTAACTGCAGTTTTAGTTTTACAGAGAAATCAAACATTAAGTACAAATAGTTCTTTGTAAAGCCTCTAAATATACTATTACTCTTGGATATTCTTTAATAGCGGCAGAAAGCATTTCTTTCTTTTGTTTAATGTTTTCATATATTTAGGGGCAAAAAAAACATAAGTGCCCAATTAAGACTCAATACATCAACCTTGAAGAGATTCACTGACTCCACTGAGTGGGAGGTGTCTCTGGTGAGGCAGGTGGGCTGGTAAACAGCAGTTCCAGTAGAGGATGTCCGTGGAATAATCTCTATGTATTGGACACTGCACACACCCAGTGGTTCATAAATGTTAACTATTTAATCCAAAAGACAAACCTAAAAAGTGTTACATTATTATACTCCATTTTATAAAGGACAGAATTTACAAGACTCAGACAAGCTAAATAACTTTTAGCTGGTCCTTCCTCCCATCTGTGACACCTTTTCTTCTACAAGGATATCCAGGATAACTTTCACCTGTGAACAACGTTTGAGAGGGGAGAAGTCCCCAATGTGTTTGCTGCTGGCTCTGACCACAGCCTAGCAAAGGACAGGATCCTGATCCTTGGCGTTTCTTGTTCCTCCAGGGACGAGTGTAGGGGGAA